ATTCCCCGCACTGTGTGTTTCTTCTGCTGCTATGATAGACGAACGCAGATTCAGTGACTTAAAGCAAACCAAAGTTATCGCCGTTCTGTAGGGCAGGGGTCTGGGTTCGCTCTGCTGGGCCCTGTTAGAGTGCCGGCTGGGTACCTTCCTTTCTCAAGGCTCTGGGGCAGACTCTCCTCCAGGATCCCTCAGTGGCTGGCAGGACCCACTTCCTTGCAGGTGTAGGACAGAGCTCCTGTCCTTGCTGGCTGTCAGATCCTGGACGCCTCTCCCTAGTCCCTGTATGTAGGTCCTCCATCCAGAGCCCCCAACGGCCATGGAACCCTCCTCTCCCAGGGCATCTCTCTGACTCCCGCTCGGCCCCTTCTCCCTTCTGAGCGCAGCCAGAGAAGGTTCTCCGCTGTGAGGAACCCATGTGATCAGATTGGGTCCATCCAGGTAATTCTGGAAAATCTCTTCATTCTAAGGTCATAATTGTGATGAAATCTGCAAAGTCCCTTCATCAGGAACATAGAATTGGGTGGACCCATTAATCTGCTTTCCACGTCCAACCCATCTAAGATAAGTACTGTCAAGTGTGTTTTTCCCTTCTCACTCTAGCACTGGAGATGTGTGCTAGACATGACAGCAGTGTGATACAGAGTAGAATTTGACCTTATTATTTAACATTCTAAAATAGGAGCCTGGGTGGCTCACTTGGTTAAGCAACTGCCTTTGGCTCAGGTCATGATCCCAGGATCCTGGGATCAAGTCCTGAATCCAGCTCCTTGCTCAGCAGGGAGTCTGCTTCTCCCTCTCCCACTCCTACTCTCCTTGCTGTGTGCTCCTGCTCTCTCTCTGTCAAATAAATAAGTAAATAAATAAATACAATCTTTAAAAAATACTAATTTTAAAATTTTAAAAATATGATTTCTTGGGGTGCCTGGGTGGCTCAGTGGGTTAAAGCCTCTGCCTTCGGCTCAGGTCATGATCCCAGGGTCCTGGGATTGAGCCCCACATCAGGCTCTCTGCTCACAGGGAGCCTGCTTCCCTTCCTCTCTCTCTGCCTGCCTCTCTGCCTACTTGTGAACTCTCTCTGTCAAATAATTAAATAAAATCTTTAAAAAAATATGATTTCTTTTCCACATTTACTCATGAAGCAACCTAGTTACTCTTGGTCTTTTTCTGAAGATGCCAATGTTAATAAAACAGTTTCTTCCCTTGAGAAAAAGTAGAAATCACAGTGGAAGGATATTACAGGAGGTAGCCAGTATAAAGCCAACCACAGAGTTCTGGAAAGAGAGCTTACAATCTTGAGAAGAGTTTTAAATATCCTACAGGTGATTAAAATGGGGGAGAGCCGAAAAGCCAGAAGAAGGGGTTCTGCACATACAGAAGGGGCCCCATGTGTATTCTTCAAGGAATTCAAACATCCAGCCTGGCCTGCCTGGTTCTCCAAGGTCCCGGGGCTCTCCTCTGGCCATATGTGCCCCATAGGGCAAGGAGTCTGTGGGGCCAGGATTGGCCTGCTCTTTTCTCTCAATTCTTGCCTCTAACACATACTAAGAATGTTGCTAACTTAAGTCTGGAGGTGAGGGAGACAGTCCAAGAAGATGTTTATCTTCTATGGGATTCCAAGTTTCCCCAAGACCACAAAACACAGGGAAGTGACTTGTAATAATTTTGACATTAAAGACCTACTGCTTCATCTTGGAAAAGATGAAACACCAGTAACTATGCCTTGTGTTTAAAAATTTCAAATGCTAATGTTTGAAATATTTATTAACTTCAACCTAATCCAAAAAATGTATTACTATGTCTTATCAATATCTATTCAACATTGGTTTTACTTAAAACAAATTTGTTTCCAGATTATTTGGTAAAGAAGCACATTTTCCAATGAATTATTTCAACCTTTTCTGTTCTTTTTCTGTCAGACTGAGATAGGAGAATATGCAAATAACAAACAATGTTTTCAGATAGAAAAAAAAAATGAAAATATTTATGCCAGTATGGGAGTCCTGGTACATATTGTAAGAATTTGGGAAAGAGAAATGGAATCCAGAATCTCTAAATCTAGTGAAGCAAGTCTTGTTTTAATCTAAAGAAAAAAATTCTAAGTAGGAAAATGATTTTGCTCATTTTCTGGGGTTTTCAAATCCTTTTCAGAAATAAAATAAACAACTGAGCTGCCTCCTTCTCCCACTTTCCAAAGAGAATTGGAGTAACACGCATGATGGTGGATTTTAGGTGTCACCTCAGCTAGGGCACGGTGCCCATTTCATTCTGGATATTTCTGTTAAGGATGTTTGTTGGATAAAAAAATTAACATTTTTATCAGTAGACTTTGAGTCATGCAGATTGCTCTCTGAAATGTGGGTGGGCCTCATCTAATCTGTTGAAAGCCTTAGTAGAATCAAGTCTGACCTCCCCAGAGCAAGAGGGAATTCTCTAGCAGAAAGCCTTGGGCATGAAGTGGGTATCCCACAGGCTGAACGACCCTGCAGATTCTGGACTTGCCAGAGGGCATAACCAAGAGAGCCAATTCCTTATGACAAATCTCTTTATATATTCTCTCTCTCCTATTGGTTCTGTCCTCTGGAGAAGCCCAACAAATACAACGTGTCTTCTTTAATGTTTATGCTTTTGATTAATTATAATGATTAACTGTCTTCAAAAATGGTTCTTTTAATATTTTAACATCTTATAGGTGGTTTCTTTGAAGTAAGAAGCTGATCAATAGGGATAAATTCTTAAGAATCCTACTGCTGGAAGTATTTGCCCTAATATCTGACCACATAGATGGGAAAGGTTGGTTTGTCTCTTCATGGGACAATGCAAGGGGAGACTGTGCTCTGGGTTCGTCAGCATCCTGAGATGGGTAGAACTCAGAGATGGCTCAAGTTTCCCTGACCTCTGGTGTTGTACTTGGCAATCCTTAAGACGTTGAACATGAAGAGAGAGTGCTCGGTGATTGCACTATGTCCCACAGTACCAGTGACCTCAAGATAAGAAACCTGCTGGGTGGGCCTGACCTAATCACATGGAGCTGGCCATGGAGGAGGTGTCAGAGGTCTGGGGCATGAGAAGTATGAGAAGGGGACTCAGGGATGAGGGGATGTGTGTGTTCAGGTATGAGGGCAGCCACTGGGAGCTTAGAGTGACCCCCACCAACAGCCAGGAAGTGGGGACATCTGTCCTACGATCCCAAGGAGTTGGATTCTGTCAATAACAGGAATGAGCCTGGAAGCCGGTTTTCTCCTAAAGCTTCCAAGACCTCAACCAGGCCCACATTTTGGTGTCTGTGTTGTAGTATCTTGAATTGAGAACCCAACCCCTTCATGTTGGAGTTTGGACCTACAGAGCAGTGATCTAATACGTGAGTTTGAGGCTACTAAGTTTGTGATAATTTGTTACATAATAATAGAAATGATTCTACTTCTTCATATTCTCTGGGCCTTTCTTTTCTTAGGTGAAAACAGAGGAAACCACGTATCCTGATTTATTATCATTACTTCAGACATGGATTGGTCAGGGAAATGGATTTGGATGTGGCGTGGGTTCCAGAAAGTCCTCCCCTGTGTTGGTCAGGCCCTTGTGGAATGAGAGAGATGATCTAGCAGTTCGGTTAAAATGTTTTATTCAGGAATCAGTTCTGCCACTAGTTAGGTGTCTGGACATGAGTGGGTCCCAGAACTCCTTCTCAGCTTCCTTTTTACAAAATGGGGACAAAACCAGTTACAGATGGAATCCTTGTAAGGACCAGAGAGCGTGAGTAATGCGTGGTCTGTGGGAGTTCAGAATGGGCCCTTGAGGCCTCTGGTGGGCCTGCTTTACCACTCTGCTGCCAGTGCCCTTCCCAGCTCAGGTAACATGCTGGGGACAGAGGATCTGCTTACTTGTTACTCCAGGGTTCTCTGGGAAGGTGCTGCTGTGGGCTAGCTGCTCTGTGATCCTCAGAGTGCGTGGCCAAAAAGAAATCTCCTTTCCCCATGCTGAAGTCTGGGCCAATCCATGTTTTACCAGAAGCATTTCAGAAGGTGTCCCCTGTCCTAGAATTCTTTCTTAAAAATATTTACCATTTATGGAGTGTCTGTTTCAGGCCATGGGCCACTCTGCCAAATGTGATTCCATTTAGCTGCCAATCAATCCTTTCGAGTAGGATGATTATCCTGATCTTGCAGAGGGAGAAACTATGATTCAGAGAGATTATGTAAGCTTTTTGAGATCATGTGGTCAGGAAACTGACTCAAAAATTCAAGTTTTACAGTTTCATGTCCTGGACCATGTGCCCACAGAGACCCTACCACTGGGACATATGAGAAGCAGGGCCCTTTGTGGAAGGAGCTGGGGTCTTCATCAACTCCTTATCTTCCTGCAAGTGGGGATGGGAGGAGAAGGGGTGCCTGGCTCAGCAGTCACTGAAGGGTTTGATCAGGGACTCTGAGTCATTTCAATACAGAGAGAAAGAAAAACACCCGTCTTTATTTCCAAGGGGTGAATGTCTCTAAGCGCCATCATTAGGAATTATAATTACACTGTTAAACTTTCCTTTTGGAACTTTTGCTACTATGGTAAGAGACCCTGTGTTGAACCAAAAGTCCCTTCCTCCTTCTTCCTGGCTTTGAAGGGCCCTGGACTGACTGACTTCCTTCCTTCTTTCCTCCCACCCTCTTGCCCTCTCTCCCTGCCTCCCTTCCAGATTTTATTTTTAAGTAATCTCCCCACCCAACATGGGGTTCGAAACTACAACCCCAAGATCAAGAGTTGCATGCTCTATGAACTGAGCAGGCCAGCCAGGCATCCCTGCAGGTCACTGGGCTTTCTGATCAGAGCTGTGTATCCTGTGTATCCAGCAGCTCCCCGTTTGCTGCTAGGCCTGGCTTTTGTGTTGTTTTCTGTCTGTGTCTGTCGGTTCCTCCTCTGGGAATGGGATATGCAGGCTCAGCAAATGCACACAGCTGTTTTGTTGTCTTATTGTGGAACTAATATTTAATAATCTTATTATCTCTTCTGACCAGTTTACATGAGATGGAAGCACTGTGGGGTGCAAGGTGATAGGCCTTTATGCAATCTAACAAAACTTTTGAACAAACTTCAGAAAGACCACAGAGATGACATCTATCTCTACACCTCTGGGCACTTGAATTCCAATAAGCTCTACAGGCCTCCTGAGACAATCCTCTATCACTGGCCCAATGCCAACAGACCAAAAGGGGAAAAAGTCTTCAAAGTAGAGAAACCATCTGATAAGAAGATTGCAAAGATGAAAGATGCTTTGGCTTATTTTACCATCAATACAGCTCTGAGTCCAAAAGATGTCCAGACCACACCACTATTCAGGTATTTGGACCCTCTGGAGCCTATTTCCCGCACTTCAGAAGAGGACTTCATTCCAAGGAAGGCTCCAGGAAAAGAGGCTTCTGCAGAACTGTGGAGGAGAGAAGAACTGAGATTGCCAGAGATGAAGGTTCTCAAATACAGAACAGTGGAGTCCAGCCGTCAGTGTGTGATGTCTCCCCCACCCAAGGATAAGTACCAGTACATCAGCTCCTACCTATCTGGTGTTACAAAGACAGACAAGTACAGAAAGTTCCTGTGCTTCCAAAAAGAAGTTCTTGCAAAGCAAGATCTCATGAAGCACGATTTCACTGGGAGAAAGGCAGCAATATGCCATGAAAAGAAGTTGGAACAGGTGAGGAGGATGATTCTGCTGTACTGCGGTCACATTCCTGTAGTTCCTAGCATCTAAATGTCATGGGTGGAGACCTGCATTCAGGCACCTCCTTTACATTTCCAGATAGAAAAGAGTTTACCTAGCAGTTGCTGAGAACATCTGACACGAGGTAGATGATAACAGAGAGAAGTAAAGAAAGGCTAAGTCTGGAAATGGGTCAGTTGGAGGCGACTTCATAAGCAGGGCATCAGATACTGCCTGGCAGCTGTGGTATACAATGTTCATGGATAGCAGACTCTGAGGAAAGGTTTGCCTAACTCACTATGGAAGCATGTGCAGGGAGAGTGAGGTGGGAGTAGATGGTTAGGTAACGTAGGTACAGTCTTCCCAGAGTCACCCATGTCTGTGGAACAGGGTTAGCATGATGGGAGGAGCTTTGGTGAACTCCCTGGGGGCTGTGAGTCAGCCACAGGGACCACGGATGTGATGCAAGGGTGAAAATGCAGGAAGGGAAGAAATAGCAGCATAGCTGAGAAATAATCAAACCTGATGAGGGTTTTGGCTGAGAGGACTAATGGAAAGAGGAAGACCCTGGGGACGTTGTGGATGCAGTGTCCTCGAGTACAGCATGTAAGGGAGTGAATTAAAAAAAATGTAGATCAATGCCTTTGACAACCATGAAGTCAGACCTTCTCAGCACTGCTCAGAGGGAATCAGACGCCCCTTGGTTTGCTACCTGGCTCTGCCCAGACCCAACTCTGGGGTGGTGGGAGCTGGGCTCTCTGATAGAAGGCCCCGTGGAAGTTCTTATTCCTCCACCTGAGAAGTTATTTGGAAAGGAAAATGAAGACATCCTGAAATGACGGGTTCTATTTTTGTACCAGGAACTCCAGAAAGTGTGCATATGTGAACCTCAGCAGTTCAACAGACTGCACATCTTTGGAGAAGTCTTTGAAGATATTTGCAATAGTTCTTTGATATTTGGTGACATCTTGAAAGAAGTCAAGGTAATAAAAAATGTTTTTTTCCCACATAACCACTGAGAGCCACACATGATGTTCTGCACACAGAGTCTCAATTCTCCCAGAAATTCTGTCAAGTATTATGGCCTCCATCCTACAGATGATGAAAATCACTCACAGACTCAAAGTAATGTGCATATAGCCACATCAATTACAAGTAGGCCATGGGAGTAAATAACCAGCTAGCTCAATCCTCAAGCCCATACCCACCCCCCCACTAAAATCTCCCAATTATTTATAGGTTTTTCTAAATTGCACATATGTAACATTTAAATTTTTATAAGTATGCATAATTATTTCATATACATTCTTATGGAATTTTGCTGTGATTTCATGATGAAAGTGACCTTTATACCAAAACTGAGTTGAAAAGAGGTTGCTTCCAGATCTTGTGTGCATGTGTGTGTGTGTATTTATTTATTTATTATGTTCAGTTACTCACTGTACAGTACATCATTAGTTTTTGAAGTTTTGAAGTAGGGTTCAGTGATTCATTAGTTAGGTATAACACCCAGTGAAGGGAGAGGAATCAGAGAGGGAGACAAACCATGAGAGACTATGGACCCTGCGAAACAAACTGAGGGTTTCAGAGAGGAAAGAGGTGGGGATAGGGGGTAAAAGAGTGATGGGTATTATGGAGATTGCTTCCAGATCTTGCTATTGCCTAAGTCCTGAAGACAAGGAATGCTTAAGAGCAGCCATACAGTAGCCTGTTCTCCAGAGAATGTCCCCATCCCTAGGGAGCTTCTCTCTCTAGTCCCTGTATGTAGGTCCTCCATCCCAGAGCCCCCAACGGCCATGGAACTCAGTGAGTCCTGGCAGGTGGGAAGGACTCACTGAGCCTCTGTATGGCAGGAGATCACATGTTGTATGTGTGTCAAGGTATTTTAGGAAGCTATTCTGAGGTGATCAACAGTTCACGCTCAAATGTGCTTCGAAGTTGGTGAGATTTTATGCACTTCATTGTGTGTTCTGTGGGTTATATACTGAAGGAACATTTTGTAGTTTTTAAAATGATCTAAACTGACACCCTTAACTTCCGTATTATTTGTCCCTGCGAAGAAACTTACACTGTGATGATATAACACATTTTCAATGGATTTTTTTTTTTTTTTGGTACAGGATGAATATGAGCTCTACATGGCAATCCTTCTGCAGTCCCAGGCCTCGTCCCAGGACAAGGTAACAGCCCATCCTCCAGGTGTCTGAATAGAGACTACTCCATTTCTTCCCATTTCACGAGTAGGAGAAAGTATTCTGAATCCAAGAAGCCCCATTTGTGTCTCTACAGGCTGAAGGACACCATGGGTAAAGAATTTACCTCCTGCCCACGGGAGAGTGAGTGGTGGGATGGTAGGGGGCATACACAGCTCCTGGGTTTTGCCAATGTCTTTGGCCACCCATCGTCAGTGACCTCTCTGGCTCCTCCTTTCCGTAACCCAGTCCTCACCGGGCTGTTTCCCTAGGCATTGTCCCTCTCTTTTCTCCCTCTTGCCCTGCTTATGAGCTACATGTGCACACCCCTGCATTGCTGACCCCCAGCTCTGTGTATGTCACCCAGATATTTCCTGGGGGTTCTAGGTTATACTTGTTTCTAGTTTCCTGCTGGACATTAACACTTAGGTGTCCAGAGTGAGCAGATTACAGACCTAAAAATAAGGAGATTTTCCAGAATTACCTGGATGGGCCCAATCTGATCACATGGGTCCCTCAAAGCAGAGAACCTTCTCTGGCTGCACTCAGAAGGGAGAAGTGGCTGAGCGGGAGTCAGAGAGATTCCCTGGGAGAGGAGGGTTCCATGGTCACTGGGGGCTCTGGGATGGAGGACCTACATACAGGGACTAGGGAGAGGCATCCAGGAGCTGACAGCCAGCAAGGACAGGAGCTCAGTCCTACAACCTCAAGGAAGTGGGTCCTGCCAGCCACTGAGGGATCCTGGAGGAGAGTCTGCCCCAGAGCCTTGAGAAAGGAAGGTACCCAGCCAGCACCCTGATTTCAGCCCAGGGAGACCCTAGCAGGGCCCAGCAGAGCAAACCCAGACTCCTGCCTACAGAATGGCAGTGATAGGTTTATGTTAAGCCACAAAATTTATGGTAATTTGTTATGACAATGATATAAAATTTAGAAGATGTTCCATAAATATCTCAAAATAGAGTTTCCAACACCTTTTTTACGCTGTCCTTCATTGAACTTTAGCTACTGGAGTAGCTAAGTAGTAGTAGTCCTCATCTCACCAGTGCCACTCGGTGGCCTGGATTACACGCCTTCCCTGCATGTCCCCCATGAGGCAGCTGTGCGCGGCTGAGTAATGTCCTCCAAGACATCGTGTCCGCTTGGCAACTGTGAGTGTGATCTTCCTGGGAAATAGGGTCTGTGCAAATGTAATCAAGTGGGGATGAAGTCGTTGTGTGGGGGTGTTCCTAATCCAGTGACAGGCATCCTGATGAGAAAAGAGGAATTTGGACCCAGACACAGAAGCGGGAGGCAGAGTTGGGGGTGGGGCGTATGCTGACGTGCTGACAGTTCCCAAACCACTGAAGTAAACATGTAGAAACAGTTTGGGAACTGTCAAGAATTACCAGGGAGCAGGTGCATTTGGTACCTGTAGGGAAAGCATGAAGAAGGCACTGTGATGGCTAGCCACAGGGGTCCCCCTCCCCCAGCTCACAAGCCCGGGGACTCCCTCCAGGCTCGCGTTTACACGTGTGAAAGTTCCGGTAAAAAGAACAGACTGCAGGAGTAACTTTCTCAGTCTTGAAAATAAAGAGTGACACTGCTAAAACTACTCTTGACTTCTTGAATTCAATAAAGTTTAAACATCCTATCTTATAAAATGGGAAGTATAGTTTCTTTGTATCTGAGAAAACTCACAGCATTACAAGGCCAATTCTGATTTACTTCTTAACTCTTTTCCTCTGAAGTTATTTTATTTTTTATTTTAATTCCAGTTAGCTAACATACAGTGTAATCTTCATTTCAGGCGTACTAGATAGTGATTCGTCATTTCCATACACCACGAGGTGGTCCTCAGGACACATGTGCTCCTTAATCCCCATCCCCTATGTCTCCCATCTCCCCACCCCTGTCCTTCTGGGAACCATCAGTTCTCTGTAGTTAAGAGTCTGTTTCTTGGCTTATCACTGTCTTTTGCCCCCTTTGCTTTTTTGTTTTGTTTCTTAAATTCCACATGTGAGTGAGATCATATGGTATTTGTCTTTCTCTGGCTGATTTTTTCCCCTCAGCATTATACTTTCTAGCTCCATCCATGTAGGTGCAAATGTCAAGGTTTCATTCTTTTTCATGGCTGAGTAATACTCCATTGTATATCCATACACCACATCTTCTTTATCCATTTGTAAGTCTATGGACACTTGGGCTACTTCTATAATTTAGCTGTTGTAAACAATGCTGCTGTAAACATTGGGGTGTATGTCTCTCTTTACATTAGTGTTTTGTATTCTTTGGGTAAATACCCAGTACCTCAATTACTGGATTGTAGTGTAGCTCTATTTTTAACCTTTCGCAGAATGTCTGAACTATTTCCCAGCCTGGCTGCACCAGTTGACATTTCCACCAACAGTGTATCAGCATTCCCCTTTCTCCACAAATCCACCAATGTCTTGTTTCTTGTGTTGTTGACTTTAGTCATTCTGATAGGTGTGAGGTGATATCTCATTATAGTTTTTATTTTGCATTTCCCTGATGGTGAGTAGTGCGGACCATCTTTTCATGTCTCTTGGCCATCTATCTGGATGTCTTCTTTGGAGAAATGTCATTCATTTCTTCTGCCCATTAAAAAAATATTTATTTATTTTAGAGAGAGAGAGTGCATGATCAGAAGGGGCAGAGGGAGAGAGAGAATCTTGAGGAGACTCCATGCTGAGTGCAGAGCCCAATGTGGGCCTCAATCCCACAACTTTGAGATCACGACCTGAGCTGAAACCAAGAGTCAGATCCCTAACTGACTTCCCCACCCAGGCACTCCCTCTCTGCCCATTTTGAATGGGATTATTTGGTTTTTTGAGTGTTGAGTGTTGAGTTGAGTTTCGATTCTTGATTATAAGTTCTTTACATATTTTGGATACCAACCCCTCGTTCGATATGTCATTTGCAAGTATCTTCTCCTATTCCATAGGTTGTCTTTATTTTTGCTGATTGTTTCCTTCACTGTACAGAAGCTTTATTTTGATATAGTGCCAATAGTTTATTTTTGCTTTTATTTCCCTTGCCTCAGGAAACAGATCTAGGAGAATGTTGCTAAGGCCAATGTCAGAGACCTTACTGCCTATGCTCTCTTCTAGGACTTTTATGACTTCAGGTCTCATATTAAGGTCTTTAATCCATTTTTTCTAAAGATTTTATTTATTTATTTGATATATATAGAGAGAGAGCTTGAAAGGGAACACAAGTCGGGGGAGCACGAGAGGGAGAAGCAGGTTATCCACTGAGCAGGGAGCCCAACATGGGGATCCATCCCAGGACCCTGGGATCATGACCCGTGTCAAAGGAAAACGCTTAACCAACTGAGCCACCCAGGCGCCCTTCTTTAATCCATTTTGAGCTTATTTTTGTATATGGTGTAAGAAAGTGTTCCAGTTTCCTTTTTTCTCAATGTAGTTGTCCAGTTTTCCCAACAGTGTTTATTGAAGAGATTATCCTTTTCCTATTGGCTATTCTTTCCTGCTTTGTCAAAGATTAATCAACCATATAATTGTGGGTTCATTTCTGGGCTTTCTGTTGTTCTATTGAGCTATGTGTCTATTTTAGTGCCAATACTAGACTGTTTAGATTACTACAGCTTTGTAATATAACTTGAAATCTGGAATTGTGATACCTCCAGCTTTGCTTTTCTTTTTCAAGATTGATTCAACAATTGGGTTTTTTGTGATTTCATATAAATTTGAGGATTTTAAAAATTCTAGTTCTGTGGAAAATGCTGTTGGTATTTTGGTAGGGTTTGTATTAAATCTGTAGATTGCTTTGGGTAGTATTGACATTTAAACAATATTTCATATTCCAATCCATGAGCATGGAACCTCTTTCCATTTCTTTGTGTCCTTTTCAATTTCTTTCATCAATATTTTAGTTTTCAGAGTACAGGTCTTTTACCTCTTTGGTTAGGTTTATTCTAGGTGTCTTATTATTTTTGGTGCAATTGTAAATGCACTTGTCTTCTTAGTTTTTCTGCTGCTTCATCATTAGCATATAGAAATACAACAGATTTCTGCACATCGATTTTGTATCTTGCAACTTTATAGAATTCCTTTATCTGTTCTAGTAGATTTTTGGTGATCTTTAGGGTTTTCTTTATAGAGTATCATGGCATCTACAAGTAGTGAGAGTCTTACTTCTCCAGTTTGGATACCTTTTATTTATTTATTTATTTATTTATTTCGTTGTTTCATTGTTGTGGCTAGGAATTCTAGTTCTAGTTTGAATAAAAGTGGTGAGAGTAGACATCCTTGTCTTGTTACTGACATTAGAGGGGAAACTCTCAGTTTTTCCCCGATGAGTATGATGTTTGGTATATACATATTTATATATGGCCTTCATTATGTTGAGGTTTGTTTTCTATAAACCTACTTGAGGGCTTTTATCATGAATGGATGTTACACTTTGTCAAATGCTTTTTTCCTGCATCTATTGAAATAATCTCATGGTTTTTACCCTTTTATTGATATGATGTATCACACTGATTTGCAAAAATTGAACTACACTTGCATATTGGGAATAAATCCCTCTTGATTGTGGAGAATGATTTTTAAAATGTATTGTTGGATTTGGTTTGCTAGCATTTTGTTGAGGATTTTTTAAAAAAGATTTTATTTATTTATTTGTCAGAGAGAGAGGGAGAGAAATGAGTGGGGTTGGGGGAGGAGCAGAGGGAGAAGCAGGCTCCCAGTTGAGCAAGGTGTCGCATGTGGGACTCTATCCTAGGACCTTGGGATCATGACCTGAGCTGAAGGCAGACACTTAACCAGTTAAGCCACTAGGTGTCCCTGTTGAGTATTTTTACATTTATGTTCATCAACCATACTGGCCTGTAGGGTTTTTTGTTTGTTTGTTTTGTTTTGTTTTTGGTGGTGTCTTTATCTTCTTTGGGTATCAGGGTAATGTTGGCCTCATAGAATGAATTTGGAAGTTTTCCCCCTTCTTCCATTTTTTTGTAATGGTTTGAGAAA